CTATAGCTATAGTGTTAGAGTAGTTAGTTAGTTTGGTAGTGTAGTGAGTTATTCTATCAACCCAGCAAGTTATTCGATGCAGCTTGCACTTCCTCAACGTATATGCATATCAATAACGTTCATAACTTTAATATAAATAATACATAGATTATTATAAAACCAGTGAATATAGATTTAAAATAACCCGTAGAATATCATATCTCTATTCGCACGTATATGACTAGAACTAAAAAATCCTGTTCTTATCCAAATTGAACTAGTGTATATAATAATAATTAACCGAATTTATACACTTCATTGTGATATTAAATTAAACTACTGTATATACAGTACTAAATAGTACCCTTATTTAAACAGTTATGATCGTTTTCTTGAGAATTTGAGAATTTTTGTCTTGAAAAATGTCTCCTCCTAGAAGAACTAAAAAAGTTTATGGTGTTGTAAAAACTCCAGGTCATCGGTTCAAATGTCCTAGTTCCGGATGTCTCTACTCGTTCGTAAAGTATGAAAAGCTAGTGAATCACTTACGAGACATCCATATCACAACAGTACGAGGAATAAGGCTTAATCAAAACGCAAGACAAATTGAACGCGATAATGATAGAAATATCTTCTCTTTCAAAAATAATATGTGTGAACAACTTGATGAAATTTATAAAAAGCTAGAGATTGCCGAAAATAAATACTTACCATTAATCGAATAGGGGCATCCTCGAATTAATGAATTCAGGCAATGTCTTGATAGCATTACCTCATTAAAAGTGGAAATTAGTGGATTCAATAAGAAGCAAATTCGCTATATCAATAGTATGTTGAATGGTAAAGTTGCTGCGGGTACGTATTATTAACTGTTTTTCATATCAAATTTACTATAGCATTCTAGCATTGCTTTTCACACATGATCATGTATAATGCATCTTTTTGGTGAGTATCATTAATAGCAACACTATTGTATCATTCGTTTACTAACTTTTGTTATCAATTATTTGTTTCTTGTAGAAGAAAAGGAAAAAGTAGCAACACTCGTTAAAAAGTAAGTATATTTTAAACAAAATAGTTCTGTTATAAATAACTACTGTAAATTTTAGATTCTATTTAAATACTAGACTTTGTGAGGAAATTAAAATGCTTGTGAATGAGCTTAATGTAAAAAATAATAAGATAAAGGAATTAGAGGAAAAATATATAAATTTAAATACGAAATATCATACGCTTAAAAAGGATCACGATACTGGTTATACAGAAAGCTGACGTTTGCTTGAAAATGAAAATGCTGTATTAATGCGCCGCGTAAGTTTTTTTGCTTAATGTGATATTGAATACATTCGCTGTATTTTAATATTTTATTATAGAATTTAGAATTTTTTGAGGAGATCAAAGCAACTAAAACAAAAAATAGTGAGCTAGAAAATAGTCTACATTTATTGCAGCAACAGGTAAACTTTTTTATGGTAATAGATATTATTACACTCTATATTGAATACTTACTATATGTATTGTATATAGAATGTAGAATTATCTAAAGAAATCGAAGAATTGACAAACAAAAGAGCGACACTTTCTGAAGTTGTCTATATTATAGATTAATTGTTTGAAATGTTCTTTTGTTAGACTAACTACGTTTGAAATATTCTTTTATTTGCTCGATTAAATACTTTTTTTGGCAAAATAAAGTTATTACACATCACTAGCTGGTAGATAGGCGATTAAAGATGCCGATCAGTCAGATGTTTATTTGTTGTTTGTTGTTGCCGATTATTCTTTTCCAAAATATTAAATATTCTGGTAATAACATTATACTTATGTTTTAAATTACGGGTGTCTTTGCGCATATTAATTATTATTCTTTGTATTATTATTTGAATTATTTGGATATTTACGAAGAATCTTGCTGTACGGATTTTAAAGTGACTGCTAACCAGATATTACAACTGCAACGAAATTACCGCTCAAACTAACACAGTATCAGGAAGAAAAGAAATTGCAGGTGTCTCCAGGAAAGTATAATTTCATTCATATTTGTGCTTGTTTTTTTTTGTTTTATTCAGATATTCAAACCTGTTTTCTTTTGATTCTTAGTTCATACCCCGGCCTAAACTGAGCGGCCATGGTGACGAAAGTTGATTTGGCTTCCCAAGTAGTTGCAATGAAGGGGTCGGGTAGAACTTCGTAGAACGGGCTAGGCGGAGCTGCCAGGAACCTAATATTATGTTTTTGAAGTAGTATCACATTTCTGGTGACAGTGATGTACTCCCAGTGCCAATATATTAGATACTACACAAACCTCTGTGATGATACTGTACAAATGAAGAATTATAAACATATTAAGTCTGAGAGGTTTAGCAAATCATGCTATTTTATTGTCTTGAATTCATTAGTAATT